GTGGCTAGCCGGGCATCCGATGCCTGTCCAAATAAAAAAAATCCTAATTTCAAAAATTTACATCTTCGATTATCAGTTCAAGAGCAATCTTTACAAAACTTTACAGTTTTACTGCGCTAGCGTGATATAGTTTATTGTCTGAGGCGGAACTATATTAAATAATGGAATGAATATTGATTCATCGCGACTTAAATATAGCTATGGGATTAGAAGTTAACTAGCGTTACTACAGCAATGCTTTGTCTCGATGGCAAATCCTAAAAAAAACATTATTTTGTGTAACCACCCATACCACCACCAAGAAACCATACTGATATGTGTATGAGAGCATAGAAAAATCATTATCCTGAAAAATGACAAAGTTTTTAGTAAACGCATTGGGTTTGAAGTGCGGTTGGGCTTCCTGTATGTCACGCAATCTTAACAAAACCACACGGATGACTTACATTTGGGGGATATTTACCTCGAAAAGGATCTCTAATGTAAGACTTTAATAAAATAAATRATGTTTCTTGATTTTTCCATGGATTGCAGGTATCTGAGATCCTTGCCGGCTAGCGAGATAATTCTGACCTTCCCGACCTTGTTTGTTTACACCAACTCATTAGCATTATATCTACCGATCATGAGTTTCGAGGCTCAAACAGGTCAAATTTCTCTTTAAATCRCCCATAACCAAAATTTCTTCCATAGGAAAATACTCAAAAATGCCAAAAATGCCATAATATTTGAAAGAAACGAAGGAATTTATTTTTTCTTTTCTGTTTCCTAAGTTTAGGTAGTTCCAGACAGTGCGGAAATCCTGAACTTTTTGTTAGCGACTACCCTAGCGTTTAGCGTTGCGAAAATTCGTGGTTTTAGTTGCCCCAAATTTTGTTTTCATTTTCTTGAAGAAGAAACTTTGCTCTTTCACCGAGTGGTATTTTGATATCATAAAACCATGTACCAGGGTCCGATTTTATTTTTTGAATTTTGCTTTGTTTTCGTCTTTGACAATTGACTAAATAATTGAAAATAATCAAAAATCCCTCAAATATTATATTTTAAAGCCAGAAAAGAATTATTTGCACTTAAATGTTTTGAATTATCTAGTCTTTAAGACAGGAGAAAATCGTTGTAATACACCAAGTATTTACTTAGAAATGGAAGTTTGAATTACTTGGTGTGACAAGTCATTTCAGACGCCTTGCAATCTACTCCCWGGACCCTAAAATCTAAATCGCCTCCGTTTGGCCCCCAAAAAATCATTTTTGCACCAAGACTATTTTTTACGTGAATAACTTGATAAATACTACATTTTGAGAAAGTTTGAGAAAAATCCATTTTTTCGTGTTGCACACCTATAGGCGATATTTACAGACGGCCGCTCTTAAAAAATTCAACCAAATTAGATAGAAAAAAGACGTGTTGGAAAAAAWGCACGAAGCGAAGAACTCGTTTGTTTTGCGATTATTTTTGTCAAAAATCGGTTTACAAAATAATATTTTATTTACAAAACAGAAAAGAAATATGAATACCCAAGATTACTTTTGATCTTTAAAAAGTTTAAACATGTTTAGAAATCTTTTTTTTTTTCAACTTCAAGACTTCAAATATTCGGACACTTTTTGAGAAAACAAGTAAGCATATTGCGAAGAAATTCTGCAAAACTTACATAAATCATCAAATATCCTCTTTTTTCAATTCCTAAACACTCAAAGTAAAAGTTGAATAAGCTGCTTTCTTTGTACAGAAGTATTATTTACCTATTTACGGATAAAGTAGGCGAAAGCTCTTGAAGTTTCAACATCAAGTTTCAACGTCTCTCGCTTCAACTTTCGCGTCAAGTGACCTTGAACAGCTGTAAAATGGCCCGACTGATGTTTTCTGTCCTTCTTAATTCTCAAATAACAAGCAGCGAGTCCTCCTTTTGCCATTCTCAACCTTTTTTGCGGGTTTCCAACTTATGAGGCTTGACTTTTTTTAGCATTTTTGAATCCATTTAAGATGAAAATCGACCATCTTGAATTTTCTGAGAACTTCCAGAGAGGGAAGGCTGTTCTGTTGAYATGACAACTGCTGTGATCYGATTGCCTAGTTTGAATTTCTTTTGTCTTTTCAACCAATCACTGAAACGTGTTTCACATTTTTGCACTGGTGTTTCACATTTTTGCACTGGTGTTTCACATT